GCTTGAGCACAATGTCGGGCGAGCAAATTGATTAATCGTTCCCGATCGCTGAGCTGCACACCAGGATCCCCAACAGGTGCGTCTGGTGTCAACGGAGTACTGGCTGCGGGAAAACTAGATCCGGTGCTTGGTACCCCCGTTCCACTTGTCCCACTAGTTGGTGTTCCCGGTTGTGGTCCGGGGACAAGTAGAGCTATTTGGGCTAACGCCAACAGGTTCAAGTCGTTGACCAGAGTCAAACTGGCCCGCAAAAGCATGGCCAATTCGGCTCGGCTGATCATAGGCATACTGGTAGCAATGCGATTGTCGAACAATGGACCTGAATGTCCCGTTGTAGAGACAGCTTTACCGCTCCCACCAGGCATTGTTCCAGCCGAATGCTCGCTGGTTGTCGATCCGGTAGCAGAGTTGTGCTCAGTGACTGAACCTCCAGTAGTGTTAGCGCCGACATCTATCTGGGGACCATTATCACCCAGGGTTGAGGAGTCAGGACCTGCAGCATGGTGACCCGGCCGGTTTGCGTCAACAAAGGCGGAACAGGAGCTGGGCAGACGCGAGATGCCCAACACTAAAGCCTAAGCGAGATCAAATAGAATGTGGTAACACATACTGAGCAAAACTTATTTGGCATGTTCATTGCAATTAATGGGGTAAACCAAAATGCATTTCACCATTTAAAAAGATCCCAAAAACATTTCGACTAGACTACGTTACAAAGGTTATTATATAAAACATCCACTTCAAATCCAAGTGCACTTTAAAACAATCTACCAAACATATTTATCGTGCCAGAAACGAATGTGATAGAAAACCAACTGCGACTGTAAGATGAATTAACCAAGTTTGAGACCAACGACGAAATTCACAAACATTAGATCCACAACCTCATTATGTTAACCCAACAACCAGGTTCATTGTACTTGTTGCTACTGAATCTCTAGCACCAAATGAGTTACAAATTCACGTCATTCGTCTATCCGGTTTGCAATTAACGGTTTAAATTTGTCCACTCGAATTCGACAGTGAGCAGCTCCCGTGCCATTGGACCGGCAATCGTGCACAGTTTTCAGTTTCAGGTTTTTCCAACCATTAACCACGCACTTTCGTGAGCCGGTTTTGGTTGCCCATTTGGATAAGAGCGAAATGAAGATTGGAATGTCGAAGCAAATTCAAGCGAAAGATAGGGAATTCATAAAGAGTGGTGTTAGGAAAATAACGAGTGGCTGCACGAGCGCCGCTGTTTGACACCCAACCATATCACTTAGTGTAGCTAACCATCGGTGACCATCATCCCGAGTGGAGTGACCTCTCGAGGGGCGGGTGTGGATAGAAGAAAGAAGCCAGGGGGTGCCCGAAAGCTGGCTTGTGAGACTGAGCTTCGTCTGGCCTCTACCCATTGACCTTTCAGGTATGATTGGATCTATGGCTGTGAAAAGCCATCCTGTTTAGCTCGCAGGATCATGGAGGCACACAAGCCATCACACCGCGTCAAGGTGCAGTCTCGTCGTGATGGCAATCGTGCACATCCCATTGGAGTCTCATATGATTTTAGTGCTTAGGGTAACAGTTCCTCTTGGTCATTGGAAGGCAAACTAGTACATGTAATGACGGATTTGAAAATATATACAGCTCCTTTATGAGCCCGATGTACTGAGTATCCTGTATTCGGTTAATACTGCCCGGTGTGATAACAGGTGACCAGGTTACTTACAAACTGCTCCGCAAATAGTATTATCTTAAAACCCAGTCAATCAATCCCGGTCGAGAGAATGGCACTTTCCTTAATTCCGTAAGTAAAAAATTGAATAGTTACATGTAAACAAACCGAGCGAACATGGTGTTCAAAGACGGTGCTGCACATGATGAAATAAATTATATTATGTGCGGCTGTCTAACATACCGGATGAGTAAAGTCTCGAAAAATGTTCGAAAACATGAAATTAAACAGACTTTTAAATGGCTGTTCAACACTCAATGACTAAGAGAGATGGCCGTATGAGGTGAGTACGATGACAGAATTGAGAAGCTTTAATCGATCTAGATTCACATTCGACAATGTGGTCATCTAGAACGACGACGGCAGAATATTTTAAAGCACAAAGCAATTAGCCTCCGTCATTATTATATGGAACAAATTTTGCTTTGAAGGACATATCGGAGAAAGTTGCTTCATTATTACGAGCCTTTTATATGAACCCGTAGAAGCCGAGGACGACCATACGAGCTTTTCGCTCGACTTTGCCATGGAAATCGATGTTATTCAAGGCTGTAACCCTTCCTCTCTCGTTCCTCCAATTTGTAATCGATACGATTCCGGAAACTGCTTTGCCCTAACGCGACGATAGTGGTATCAATGTATTCCCTATGTTGTCGATTGTCTGATCTGGAGTACTGAGGTAACATTGCATTGTTGAGTAAAGATTCAGGTAAGCTGCAAGCTTTTGTTGATGGTTTCAGTGTTAGAGCAGCTATGTTCGGCGTGCGTTTTGCACCTTTAAAGTGTCATCAGCATCATCGTACAGCGAAATACAGTGAAGCGAACTTCACTGACCGCTGCCAAACTCACAATACATACAAGGTTAGTGGTAAAATTTAAGGTGTACAGGGATTGGATCTATTTTGAGGGAGGGAGAAGAAGATGAGCCACTATGGTCAACACAGAGTACGCAATCGAACTCTGCATACATACC